TTTTTAAATTGAATCCTGTGTTGCTCATTTCTGGTTTTCCACCAACTTGATTTTTTGCTAATTCATTCATTTTCCTACAAAGATCTTCTCCAGCTTTGACACATCATTGAACATCCCTGCAAAAACACCATCTTATGTTTATTTAAAGCAAAACCTTCATGGCTTTTTTTAATGGCCATAAGTCTTGATTGAGTTGAGCGTTACGCAACTGCAACCAAACTCACAAACCCATCATGGAAAATTTGATGGAACTTTACCTTTGCATGAAAACATGTACAACACGGCAGATTTAAATGACAACAATAGAACTATGCAACCTCCATAAAACATAACGGTCTCTGTCGGCCAATCAGAGAAGAATCCACTCCCAGTATAATCTCAGTACACCTGGTCAGGATTAATTGCTGTGTGGGTGGATCTTCTGCATCTATAGGAACACAGCGCTCCTGAGACAAACTCTCTCTGAACAAACAAAGTCGCATGTGAACCAGTCATTAAATTATTTGGTGGTTAACGGCTGGCACTTGAGCTGCTGTTAGTTTGTTTTGTTCTGCTGTCAGACAACTAAATCAAACTATTCTTCATCGGCTAAACTTTAAAGTTGAATGGCATTCCCAGAGCCTGAGCAGTAACGCTGGACTCACACTACAGAAAATCCCAACAGACTTTTAAATCAGATTGCATCGTGTACATAAGGAGAAACTGTAATCTCAGGCATGCTCACACTACCAGACTGGGAAACAGCGGTGCATAACACACTACAGGGTATTATTAAGATTACCGTGCCAGAGGGAGTAATCAGGGAGCGGAGCACCAACTCACATGATCTCACGGGGACGCAGATTTAAACAAAACGTAGACTGTAGAGCAACAAGCTGCTCTCCTGCTAATAATACTTTCCAGTGAGAAAAAAACAAAACAAAAACAGAAACGGATAAGGAAACGTTTGGGGCGATGCGGTCAACATTGGCTGTTTATTCTTCAACAGGACCTGGAGGTGAGACTTTAACTCTCAGTTTTAATATCTGTAGCTGAGGTTTGCTTGGCGACAGCAGCTTTGGGTGGTAGCGTGATAATCGTAATCAGCCTGGTTGTAGCTCGTAAATATCAAGCGTGTGTGATAGCATCGGAGTGATGAGTCTGCGAGCAGCTCAGGAGGTTTGGGACTGGATCTTTAACCCCTCACATTACTGAATAATCTGGGCCGAACAACGGTTCAGACAAGATCCCAGACCAGAATTCTCCTCTGATTGCTGGCAGGAGTGAAATCAGTCCTGTGGTGTGAATGTGGCCTAAATGATTTCTTTCTTGTATTTTATGGATAAAAGATGCTGGCTGGGCTGCAAGGTGGAGCAGTGGTTAGCACCGTCGCCTCACAGCAAGAAGGTGAGGACACCTGGGATCTTCCTGCGTGGAGTCTCCATGTTCTCCCCATGCAGCGTGGGTTCTCTCCGGGTTCTCCAGCTTCCTCCCACAGTCCAGAAATTGTTGACATGTTGAGGTGATTGTAAATTGTCCATAGGTGTGAATGTGAGTGTGCTTGGTTGTCTGTCTCTAAGTGTAGCCCTGTGATAGACTGGTTACCTGTCCAGGTGAACCTGCCTTCACCCTGAGTCAGCTGGGATAGATTCCAGCCCTCCCATGACCCTAGTGAGGATTAAACGGTGTATAGATGATGAATGGATGGAAGATCCTGGTTCCGTTAAAAGGGAGTTCTCGCACCGTGATGTCGCCAAATACTTTTGGATTCTTTGGTCTTGTTGGATTTCTTTGTATAACATTGTAGGGATTTAACCTTAATATTTAAACTTGTCTGTTAACTCTTATCTCTCTATTAGAAAACACTTCAGCTCAATGTATGCTGTTTAAAATGTGCTGACTCGACGTTTCCGTAATGAGGAAGACACAGAGGGAGATTGCAGAAGACAAAAGTCCAGTGTCAGAACACATTGTGGTCACACAGTGAGAACATTAACCTGTTAAACACGACAACCACTGTGAGCGAAATCCTATTTTTGTGGATGACGTCTAGCTGCGTAATGACTTGTGGGCACAGTGCAATGAAAAATACTGCACTGACATGACAGCACGGTCAACATGTGGATTAAACAGGACATGTGTGTGTGTGTGTGTGTGTGTGGTGTTCTTCAGTCACTGTGAACAAAAAGCTCCATCTGCAGATTTACCTGTAACCCTAAGAACACACACAGGTACCAGGGTGGGGTGTCCTCAATGGTGTAGATCATATCGTTCCTCCTGGCGTCCACACTGTCTGTGCTGTCCAGCGTCTCAGACATGGAGCTCTACACGACACAAAGCAACAGGATGAACAACATCTTTAGAATCACCGCCTTTATTGACGTGCTTACTTTGTCCTGCACACTTTCCAAAATAATGCATTTTGGCAGAATACATTTATGCAAAAAGCAAATAGAGCGACAGCCAGATCCCTTTCAAGAGTGTCAAACGCTGATGTGAGAACAGAATGTCTGAGCAATATGAGGAAGGCAGAATTTTATGAATGAAGAAAATGCGAGATAAAAAAAAAAAAAAGACTGGCGACGGACAAAGAAAGACTCTGTGTGAAAAGAGAGCGCAACACATCCTTTTACTCGCCCGGCAAAGAAAAAAAAAAATGCACCGTCATAGTGACAGCAAGAAAAAGAGCCCAGCACAGGAAGGTAACACGGAGACAGTCATAGAGATTTGTTTGCGTTTTACTGTTTTGAATACAAAGAACCAGGAAAGTGCTGCGACACACAATCGAGTTTGATAACCTGTCTATTTGAAGATTAAAAAGCAGGCGAGTATACTGTTTATGTGCTGCGTGAAACAAAAATCACAGATAATCGTGTGAAAGACCAGTAATAATAGCTCCTGGTGTTGTGAGGCCATTGTCTGCCTGGTTTTGTTCTTAGTACAGAATACACTAGTGATGTCAATATCGTTCTAACTGTTCTTTAGATCTACATACCTTCATCCTGCTGCTGCCATGACAATGCAAATCCCCCTCCTCCTCAAAGGATTCATAGAGTTAATCTTATCTTAAACATTTCCCAAAGAGCCACAATCTTTTTCTTGTTGCTTTTAACTTTATTTTTTTTCATTTGCACAGTTTAACAGATTCTAATCTTTATCTTGTTATTATAACACAAAACCAGAGCGATATACACACAGACCAAAGCCCCCGAAAACAGACTGAAATCACAAATATAAAGAAAAGAAAATAATAAGGTTGCCAGGGTAACAAACTACAACCTCCATCTGTCTGGACCGTATTTTTATTGGTGCTGCCGTTCCTGTGTTGGCAACTGATTGTCTACGCAAACACGAAATTAAATAGGAAATGACGCAGTTTGTCATTTATTCAATCTCCCTGATACCAGCCTCGCTGTTGACTGTACATGGGAACATTTTCTGCTGCTTCATAATAAAATCTTTCAATTTCAAAAGAAATGCAACAGGATTGTGGATGCAGATATATTTGACTACCTTCTTGAATAAAAACAACATAGCTGGGGTGATTTTTGTGTTATTAAAACCAGGCTTGAAGGATGTAGGGGAAAGGTGAAGGAAGAAAAAGGCAAGTCACAGAGACGGTTGGTCACACAAAAATGACAATGCCAACACAAAAACTAAGCCTGAAACTGTGTGAGTTAGCTGTTTGAACCATGTGACTATGTGTCAGCCTGCTTGTGTAGAATATTTTGTACTTAAAATGGCCTTTTAGATAGTTAGTTATTCTGTTTCACTTCTGCATTTTCACTCTCACGTTACCTTTTCTGCTACTTGGTTGTCCTTAGTGTAGATGGCCATCAGCTCTGTGTTCTCAGTGTCTTGGTCTCCACTGGCGCCACCGACTCCGTTTACTACCACCTAAACACACAAGAACACACACCGCTATATCAGATGTCTATGTCACTATTTTTCCATTTCATTAGACAACACATTGGGAAGTCTTTTTTGCCAAATGTGAGCTCGCAGAAAGATTTTGTGGACAAAAGCTCGCAGCTCTGACACACTGTTGGTATCTGAAGCAACGTGAAAGGACGTGAGAGGTGAAGGAGTGTCAGAGATTGAGTTTGTATCTGTGTATGTGCTGTGCAATGTTTTAAAAAACAGAAATGCAAGGACAAGACTGGTAACAAAGCAGATTTGGATACCTGGACGTGAGCACGTGGTTCCTACAGTATGCAAACTGCTCAAACAAATTTCTTTCAGTGAGCATGTGTGTGTGTGATTTCTGTACGAATGAGTTTATCCATGTCGTGCTAATTAACATAAAAAAGGTTATTAATAATAATAAAAAAAAAACACATTGGGAAGGCAGTGACAGATGCTTAAAAACATCTAAGGACTTCATATTGTAGAACATTTTCGTCCTGAAGAACAACATGCAAATTGACAGAAACATGCAAATTCATTCATCCCTGAGCTGCCGCCAGCTCGTCTTTACTTTGTGGTACAGCGTGATTTTTACAGCTGGGTTTTTACTCTACAGTATGCAAGCATTCTCTGTTGTGTGTACATTCCCAGCCCAGCGGATTAACACTGAGCAGCAGCAGGTATGCAGGCTTATGCAAAGAAACAAAGATCACCTCACAATACCAAAGTGGGACAATTAAACACAGAGGAAGCTCCAGGTTCATGTTTCACTTCCCTTTGTGTCACAAGGCTTGTCCCCACGGGAGACGCTTTGTGATTGTCCCTACAGTTGGAACAGAGCTTATCTAAGTTCCTGAAGGAAACCAGCAGGCTTCACGGACACTGTCACAGTACAGTGGAAAGATTCTGCTAATCACTTTCTGAATTGTATGCCGTTGCATTCACGAACAGGCGTGCAGAAGTGGTGCATTTCCAGCTGATGGTAGGAATCTTAGGCTGGAGTCTATTCCAGAGGTGAGACAAACCCTGGACACGTCGCCACAGGGCCTGTAGGAGTCTTTGCTCTAAGTTTATTACTGAACAGCAGCCATACATATTGGTGTTTCCAAAGCAAAGGATATGCAAGCATTTCCACATGTGGAACAACAGCAGTAACTTTGCTGATTACTCACAATTGTAAATAAACCGTGGCATGGAGACCACATCAATCAAGATCACACTAACAGACTGATGAAGCCAGTAATAATAAATATTTAGTGTCTGAACAAAACTTTGGCTTTCAGTGTTCAGATTCTTTACTTCATGCCTTAACGTTTTAAACATTTGAAGGTATTGGAAATAAGCTGCAGCTACAACATTGACCATTTCAAAAGGGAAAAGGTGCTTCTTCATAGCACATTTAACAACTATTAACATTCATTCAGACTCTTTGTTTGTTAAATTTTGATCCCCAAGGAACATTTCAGACTCTCTAGCTGCTAAATGCTCAGCTGTGTTCATCAGCTAGTCACTAACTTTGTCAGGATAACAATCTGATGTGGGGAGGTGTCACGTAGTGGGTTTAGTGGAGCTTTTTTTTTTTTTTGCAGATTATGGTTGCAGCTGTACATGACACTGGTGACACTAAACCAGTAAATCTGCGAAGCTGAAAAACCACAAGAACAAGCAGAAAGACAACAAACAGGTCAATAAAGCTGCATAGCTGAGTGTCGGTTCTGTGGTTCCGTTATCTAAAGGTGACTTCTTTCTCACGACACAGTCACGTTTGTGTGTTGGGAAAAACTGTTATGTCTGACAACTCCATCAGCGCTTGTTAAATATTTTCCTGTTACGTACCCTTGAGAACAACGTATTGGCACAATTTGCAGCGTAACGGGTTGTTACTCTGTTATGACGCTGGCAAGAACCGCGTGTATGCAATTATTATTATTATTATCATTATTATGCTTATTACTATTTGCATAATTTATTTCATGACTGAATCGCTTGCTCACATACGGGGATTCCCACTGATAGACAATCAGAATAAATGCAACCGAAAGTCGCGATATACCGGAGCCGATATACCGGTCTGCAGGGTTGACGAGGTGACAGCGGGCTGCAGGGTTGAAAGGGTTCATTACAGTTTGGGTAACAGGATTATGTGAATACTACCAGGTCGTTTTGTAAGAAACTTGGATAAGAGGTGGAGCCTGAACGACAGAAGAACCGAATACATTTTTGGGTGGATCTGGTTTGGGTATCGCATGTCATAGGAAAGTAGACGACAGGTCTTGGCGAAGCTCTCCGTGTGCCCTTCTAATCACCGATGCATTATTGTGTAAGCAATGTTTTAATGGTGCATGGGGGCCAGCTTAAGAAAATGTAACTGCTTTATGTCAGAGTCACTCTATTTTATGAGCTAAATACATGTTTTGTATGAAAAATACTTCTCAATAAATAAATAAATTGGCATAAAATTGGGTCTATTTTCTCTTGCTTATCTGGAGCCGTGTTTTGCAACACGCTAAGACATTACTTTCACTAGTAGTTTGACGACTTGTCCTGTGAAATCCAAAGGTGCTCCGAGGCCAGAGGAGATATACAATCCCTCCAGAAGACGCGTAATCTTTTCTGGGTCTACCCTGGTTAACAACCACTTGTCCCTACCCAGGCGACGCTCAGGTGGCATCTGATAAGGATGCATGAACAAGTTCAACTGGCTCCTTTCTAAACCCCTCTCTGGATATCCCGGTCTCTAAGGGGAAGTTCTGCCATCCGCAGTCTCTTTCTTTTCATCACCAACAACAGCTATAGCCACAGGTGAGGGTTGGAATGTAACTCGTTTGGAAATTTGAGTGCTTTGCCTTCAGGCTCAGTGCCCTTTTCAATTAGGCGGTCTGGTACAATGCCCAGAGTACAGCACCCATCCTGCTTGTGCTCCACTTCATCCCAAGTACATGAAAAAAGTACTTAAGTACAGAGCACTTCATTTGTACCACTGGATCAAAAAACTTAAATAAAAACTGCACAAATGTGTTTGTACGATTCTGACAAATTGTTATCATTTGCCTATTGACCAACATGAAGCAGTGGCCTGGTCCCAAGAGGACGAACAAAGGAAATGAACGGACGGAGCAGCAGCAGCGTGCACTGAGAGGCCATGAGGTAGTGCATCGCTATTGGCTCAAACAAATACATTCCAAGCAAAAACCGGGGCCGAATATGATCGTGAGAGTCAGAAAACAAGAGGACAGGCAGAGGACAGTGATTATAAAGTTGCGTGGGACCCTGTTTGTGTCATTTGTTCATTATGGGAGCATCTGTGGTTTTGTTTCAGTTTTTTTCAATAGTGAAAAGAAGCATCAAACGGGGCTGCATACCGGAATAGGGTAGAAATCGGCACCATGTTTGCTCTCCTCCTCGTATTTTCCACTCTCGCTGGTGCTGTCCAGTGATTTGGAGGTGGTATTCTTCCCCACGCCCATCCTTGCGTCCGTGATGTCCTCCTCGTCTATCTCGGTCCCTCCTTTATCTCGCTCTGATGTGAACACTGCAGATGAATCCGTCAGTCCGATTACATTGTCCAGGACTGCCTCACCTGCTTGGAAGAAAAAGACAGATAAACACAGATTAATATCTTAATATATTTAAAGAGTTCTCATATCCTAACTTCACTGAAGATCTGATAACATCAGAGAGCTTGAGAGGCTGCCAGGTTGGACTCCTTGTTGATTAAAACTTGACTTAGCTCGGGTCTCTTTCCTTTTTTTTTTTTTTTTGGTCCAGCCTACTATGAACAACGAGACTACGTTAACTGCACGTACTGATGAAGTAAAAACAGAAATCAACGAGCTGCTTTTAGCTGCGCTAATAGCAAGATCTCCTTTCCATCTTCTGTTTAGTATCAAAGCATATCTGTTCCACTTTTGGCGGCTGCAGTCTTTCTTGGTTGCTTATCAGTTATTGATAGTGTTTTGAAGACATCAGCTTTGGCTCCGGTAACTTGGCTCAGTGATTCTGATCTAGAGCTGAAACAGCTCATCGACTGGTTTGATAGTCGGCCAATTGTGTGAATCATTTTTAAAGCAAAACTGCCAAGAACTGACTGGTTTGAAATGTTCAAATTGACTTCCTTTATCATATGTAATAGTAATAAAATATCGTTTTGTTTTGAACCATCAATCAGACAAAAAAAAAGAAAGAAACACTCCTAAGACATTGGTTTGGCCATTAAGCCATTATAATGGAATTTTAAAAACACTTTTCAGACATTTTAAAGACCAAACAAATGCTCCAGAGAATAATCTGCAGATGAACTGATAAAGACAATAATCACTGCAAACTGCTTACTAATAATCAAATGATTATTTGAGAGCTAATGACGTGGGAAGAACAATTTTACGGTGTTTAGTGAATAATCCTTTTGTTTGTTGGCACAATGTCACCGTCTGTTTAACACAAGAGGAGAGAGAAGACAGCAAAGAGAGAGGACAGGTTATGCAAGGAGAGAAGGAAAAGAATAAGTGGAGCTGAGAGATGGTGAAAACGGAGCTGGAAGCAGAGAGAAAGGGATGTCAGTTTGTAGTAGCAGGCGAGGTGGCGGACTGTCTAATTGTTGGTGTTGTGTCAGCTTCTGTTTGTGTAACATGGCTCTGTAGCATCCCTGTGTCTGTCTTATCTGACAAGGACATTTCCTTTATAAAATAAAAGAAGAAATAACAGAACTCACCTCTGACAATAAAGGCCTGATTGTGTGGTATATATACAAACAGGTGAAAGCTCCGACATTACTGTCTGGAATTAACAAAACTGGAACAGAAAGTTTCCATATTACAAAAAAATTAAACAAAAACCCAGTGGGTTGGTGATTTAACAGCATCTTGGTTAAGACAGGGACATTAGCGAGTACACAGACGTCAAACACAAATGCTGCACATGTATCCGATCATCAGGCTCGGCTGAGTGTTGCACTGAGACAGTTATGATCGATCACTCAAGTGCTGCCTTTAAACGTTGGCCTTGAAACTATTGAGTCTTATAAATGGGAAAAGGAGCCGTCAAGGATCCAGTTTCCTTCATTCCACTCCGATGCAAAGCTGCTTCATTATTTAAAAAGGTGTTTTCATTCATAACTTAGAAACACAAAACAAACCGACTGTACTTTCTGATAAAAACACAGTTCTCTAAATGGTTCTTTGTTTTTTTATGTCATTTTTCATGATGTGTGTGTCCAGAGATCTATCCTTTCCACACTCTTTACAAATTCAATATGAATAGATATAAAAAAAGTGTTTCTAATGCAGTTCTTGCATCTACAATCTATGTCAAGGTAAATTCATATTGGTCACAACTATGACTCAAATGTATAATAATCCCCTTAACATGGTTTCTCAAATGTATGTTAAAGAAAAAGAAAAAGTAGTAGAACTAATATCATTGACAATTTTTCAACCAGCTGTGAAAAAGTTTAGTCAGAAATGTTTCACTTTGTTAGTATAAATGATAAGAAACACACAATACTGTTTAAATAAAAAGCAGAAATGACGGCCTTGAGCTAATAAAAAATAACGGCCAGTTCATCCTCCATCTGTCTGCTCATTTCCTGTCAGCTCATCTGTACAAAGCAATCATGTCCTCTCCCCTCCCCTCCTCCTCCCCTCCTCCCACAATATTGCAGTTATGAATATAGTCGTGACTGGATAATCCGACACTAAATGTAAAACCTTCTTTTATGTCGGATAGCAAGGCTGTCGGATTGTCAAGACGGAGGTCGAGATACAAGGAGGGCTTGATGCTGGAAGGCTCACTAGTTGTTAATTATTGTTTATAGTTGTTATAATAACTAGTGTATTGTTAGAACACTACGCATCACTGGACTTCACGTCTAACTGACCGGTGTGATTGTGCACGCTTTGGACACTTCCACCCCGGGGGAGCGCCCCAACGGGGTGGAAGTGTCCAGAACACACAGGCAGTACTTGGCTGCTGATGCTAGTTTAGTTAGCGCTCACACTTCTGTTTCCACCATCGGTGGTGGTGGGGGAGTGGCAGATACGCTCCACCGTTACCATCCATGTTGTCCATTGTTAAGGGTCGGATTATCGAGTCACGACTGGAACTAGAAAAAGACTCCCTGCCATCATCCTCACTCAAACTGTCTAATCAAATCAGATGGCCCCACTTGTCGTGTCTGTATTGTCACCAGCTTTCTTCTACGTCACACTGCCTCATCAAATTTAGTGATTTTAGCGCCCTCCCGATACGTCCTCGCCCACCCAGCCAGTACCCCTTGCTTGCAGTGTAAGATGTTGGGATAGGTGTAATACCTAGTTGACACATCCCATCACTCCTGTCAAGCTGGGCGGCTGGGAGCATCTGTGTGGAAGGAGCAACAGAGAGGGAAAGGAGGAAGCAGTAGAAGAAGAGAGGACGAGAGCAAAGAGAAGAAAAGAAAGGGGGGAGGAGGCACAGAAGAGAGACACAGAGGGGTCGAGGATAAGGAGGAGGAAGAGGAGGAGGAGGAGGAGGAGGAAGGGGGAGGTGAGACACAAGTTAATTTGACAGATATCATTTAATCACAAGCAAAAGTTGTTAGTGCGGCTGATGTGCTAATTGTAGGTCTCTGGTGAAATGTGGCTTCAGAAAGGCGGTTAGTGCTTCCACCTCGTCACAGGTAACGAGAAGAGTCTTAAAAGAAGGAGGATGCAATCTCATTTCTTTAGCAAAAGTCAAATTCATAAAAACATGACAAGCTATGTTCAAGACTGATTCTAATTGTAGACCTAAACTGTGGATCAAAGCTGCACGATGTATAATTTCAGAATCAACAGTGATGTTTGTCATGAACGCAAAACAACCCAAACACATGTTAAAACTCTTTTGCTGCAGAAATAAAACATGCAAGGTTCTAATTTTCCAGAAGTCTGTCTGATAAAACATAGTTTACTCTGATTTATGGGTTCTTGACATCTAGACATGGTACGCGCTGCAAAGAACTGGAGAGCAACACAGAAAAGAAAAGAAAAAAAAAAGCCCAACATCAGTTGTATGGAAATATTTTCTCTATAGAAAGATTGTTGTTGATCAAAAACAGACACTCCATCGGCAGCGTCTTTGCTGCCACTACATGAGGCGACACAACTGATTTGTTTATTGGTTTTAAATTGGCACCACAAGCTCTGCCAGTGCAGGATGCCAATCAAAGCAAAAAACTGGGTTCCAAATGGCAGACAGAAATGAATGACACATACCTTTTAACCTGCTGAAACATGTGATATCAATTAGCAACTACAAAAGAGGATTATTAAAAACAAGATCCCGTCCATTGAGAAGCAACACGTGACATCAAACACCTGTTTCTCAGGTTGCCTGAACAGAGCTGGATGAGAACTGCAAAGCAGAACTTGAAACAGAGCTACAACGAATCAGTAGTCCCACATAAGTCCTACCCTCCACTTTATAAACTGGGACTTAAAACCATAAAGTCATTATTTGCAAACTTTGTCTTTAAGTCTAAATCTTTCTAAAAACAGACAATGCAGCTGAACATGTGGACAAGGCTGCAGTTGGTAAGTTATAGCCAGGTTACATTTACTAAGCTGCTATTTCATATTGCAGAAAAAACAAATAACGCAAAAAAAACAGGAACAGTTTGGCACAGCACCAACATGCGAGGGGGGTTCATCTTGACATCTGGCAGGTTTTTGCCATTTTGCTACATGATTGTGCCATTCTGATTAAAAATGTACGATGAATTTTATTTTGAAAGTTTTAATTGGCCTTCCTGTGGGTCAATCCACGTTTATGTGAAACCACCAGTAAATGTCAACACCAGTGTCCAGCCCAGTGATCGTTTTAAGTTCTTTCAAACAAGATGGCCGAGTCCTCAGTACCGACTAAAAAAAAGGCATTAATTGAAGTTAATTTTTTTTAATGTTTTGCACTTGTGGAAAGGGCCATTTTAAAATGAATTTACACTTTAAAGTAAACAGCTCTGAGTGTTTTCTTACTGACAACATGCACCGTTTGAGTTCCTTAACTGTAAAACACTTCCAATATTTTCACTACACATGAAGTTGTGCATGAATTTTGGGCACTGTTTTACCCCTACGACACTTCTGCAAAATAAAAAAATGGCTGCCTGTGATTCTGGTTAGACTCATTCTTTTTAAAAGGATAATTTTTCTTAATTACAATCTTTTTTATTTTTATTTTTTTTAAAGCAACACTATCTCATCAAGATACGATCTCAGTATGTGGCAGCATCATTTAAGGTAAACGCACTTGGGAAGGAAACATGAGCGATCACATGATGGAAAACAGGTTTAAAACCAGAAACACAAACTTAAATCAGCTAAAGGTCAGTGGCTGGACGTTTCTTTCCGTGAAGAGCTGCTTAAACACAGAAACTATTAAACTTCGACACTCGAAAGCTGTGCTGACTCACAGTTTCCTGTTTTGTCCGTGATAACGCTGAGCTCAGTGCCCTACATGAGGAATGATACTTGAGATCGCATTCATAGAGTGCAAACAGGAAGTCATTACATTAAAGCCTACTAAGGTAACCTATCCATCCCTCTTGACTGCATCCGTCCTCCAGGTCAGCCTTCGATTTGCTTTCTTGGGTTCAAAAAGAGACAAAAGTGCTGGAAGACGTGTTAAATGTCAAATAAATAGCTTATGATGGGTAGAATGAGAATGTTAATTTACTTATGTTGAGCAAAATGTAGTTAGATGCTGGTTTAGGTAACATGTAGGCTTGTTTACAGCCCGTCTGATTGGATGATGCAGACTTCTTCTACTTTATTTTTTAGTATTACAGATTTTCTCTCCGGTGTTCTTTTCTAATGCTAATATTTGGCAAGTGCAATATTATCATGCTGAATATAAATGATGGCCAGAACACACACACACACACAAATAAACCACTATCCCTTCATAATAAAGGTGTTTTTCTGACCCATGCATGCCGCACACAGGACATGAAAACAGAGCACATGATCGAGCTCGGCGCTGAACAGCCCGTGGCCCTCTCGGTGCTGTGACTCAGCTGTGAGATGTGAAGCCTGACAGAGAGTATCCCAGCAGCCTCTGGGTGACTTAAGGTCTGATGAGGCGTGTGCTAACACCAGAAGAGCCACGCTACTGTAGCATGAAATCCCCAAATGCTCGACTCCGCCATCACCCAAGAGACAGAATCACTCAGCTCGACTCGTTCCCGTTGTTTCCGTCTGCTGGTGTTGACTGGGAATCCGTCCACACACAACACACACACACACACACACACACACACACACGATAAACATCCGACAACGGAGGGAAAACAAGAGAGACATGGGGAACTGGAGCGAGAGAAGAGAGAACTGAAACTGAGTTTATGTGGTTACGTAACAGAAGTGAAATTTGCAGTTGGAGCAACGCTGGCGAGCTTTTCGAATTATGTAAAAGGAAAACTTAAAGGATGAAAGCAGGGGAAGTGTGAGTTTGGATAGGAGAGTATCAGGAAAACGAAAAAAGAAAAGCAGTGAGGAAATGAAGCGAGTGAGGCGAGGAGGAACAAAGATATCTGCGGCGGTAATTTTATCTCATCCCAGAATAAGCGGGCTGGTGGACAGTTACCGGCTGGATCTATAACCATGGTAACCCGATCCGTGGGTCTTGTGCAGGCTTGTGCCGTGTTGTGTGGGATTCCACCACAGGAGGACACGCTCAGTGTTTGTGTTGGTGGTTACATCTCTAAGCACCGAGTTAAGCACACTTGTGCGTATCAGCACAGATGTTGGTCTGGAGTTCAGAGTGTAGCCAGCAGCAGGATTGCGGTTACGCACAGATTTGGGAATTTTTTTTTAATCACACGGTTTTTGTTACCAAAAAATTGTAGAACATTTCCATCACAGACGTTTGCGTGGGATTAAATTTGCAATACAAACCAGCAGCCGTTTGATACGAAGGCTACAACTAATGACTACTCTGATTATTATTGCCAATTATATTCTCAATTAATCGCTTCACAAAATTGCAAAGTGCTACGAAAAAACAAATCACACTCTCCAAGCCCGAGACGATGAAGATCTTCAGATTTCTTGTACAAAACTGAAGAGTTTACAGCCGTGTCAAACTGAGAAAAAACGGCAGAAATCATCCCGGAGCAGCAGTGAGCGACTCTGAAGGGAAACAACTAATTAGCTGCTGAGTAATTTAAGCTCTACAGGCTACAAGAGCAAATCAATAAACAGAAATCATTTTGCCAGCAACTAATTTACAAATAATATCCCTAAAACGAAACAAGAATAGAAGTAGTTCTGCGTTACACAACTTTGCTTCACCTGCTCGGTTAAAATTATTTCTCCAAAACTGTACTTACCCGTGTTCGGTAAGGGACAGGACATGACTGCTAATCGCTTATGGGAGTTATCCTGCAAGCTCTGCTGCCAAACTGCTCTAAAGGATGAAGACTGTCGAGAACAACTGTTAAAAGCTGGCAATGACCTGACATGACATTCACCTGCTCCTCCTTTTTTTTGAAGAGGTGTTCCGGTTCTGAAGGAAGAAGGAATTCTTCTAAGACTTGGAGATGTTTCAGCATAGAAACCTGCATATGGCTGCATGGAAGCTGAGCGTCCTGCTGGATTTTTGTTCGTACATTTCGCTCAACGGTCGTCGTTTGCGTTGAGGTGTTTGTTAAAACAGGTGTTCAGACCACAATTTATGAGAGGAAAAAATAAATCGTTCACAGGGATTGGCTAAATTCCACGAAACTACTGCATACGATGAAGGTTTCTGTGCTGTAAATTCCTACAATTCCTACGATGCATCACATAAAGCGATAAGATGGGATGATTATATATGGACAAGGTGTACAGCAGCCGAACATCTCCACAGCTGTAAACAAACTGGGAGGACGAACGGACAAAACGGCCGAGCTGCCACAGAATCAATAAAGCTCGTTTATTTGTGCTGAACTCTGAAAAAGCCTAATTACTGTAATTATGCCGACTCAAAACAATAACTAAACTACTGGCATGACGGGTCCTGCACACTTAAACTAGAAGATCTGAGAAGTTCTGAGACGGTTCAAACGTGCACCGCTCGCCTTTGAAATCTGACGAGTAAATAAATGCCAACAACGTGCCACAGCTGTCGAGAAACTATTTAAACTAGGAAACAAAGATGACATGTGTCACGTCACTGTAAAACAAACTGAAATATGTGAGAAATGTGCATACGTGTGTCGTCGGTGGCGGCAGGCGTCGCTTTACGTGACCGGGTACACGTGAGGAGATCATATTTCACCGCGAGGGGCGACTGCAAAGGGCCTCCAAGGTCATGTTTACATCGGTCGACTTTCTGCCGGCGCATCAGAGGTGAATGGAGAT